GCGCGTGTGTGTGAGAGTGTGTGTGAGAGTGTGTGTGAGAGTGTGTGTGAGAGTGCGCGTGTGAGAGTGCGCGTGTGAGAGTGCGTGTGTGTGAGAGTGCGTGTGTGTGAGAGTGCGTGTGTGTGTGTGTGTGTGTGTGTGTGCGTGTGAGAGTGTGTGTGTGAGTGTGTGTGTGTGTGAGAGTGTGTGCGAGTGTGTGTGTGTGAGTGTGTGTGTGTGTGAGAGAGTGTGTGTGTGCGAGTGTGTGTGTGAGTGAGTCTGTGTGTGTCTGTGTGTGAGTGTGTGTCCCTGTGTGTGAGTGTGTGAGTGTGTGTGAGAGTGTATACCTGGTCCTGTCAGACGCGGCGCTGCTGCTGCTGCTGCTGGTGGACTCTGAGTCGGAGCTGGAGCGTGGCAGACTGCGCTCGTTCCTGTACACCAGGAAACTCTCGGTCTTCGGCTGACTGCTTCCACCAAAACCATTACTGTGAAGATCTGAGACGCGCACAGCATGAAGAGAAACTCAGTTACACTAGCTATGTTTCCATCACCCTGTTTTTAAATGCATTTTGATGTACGCCATCAGAAACGAGTGATGAAAATGCCAAATTTCGATTAAAAATCCCTTAATTCGCAAAAAAGTTTTTACGCTCGCTTAAAGTGGCTTTTGACTTGTGCGAAAAAGGGTTAATGTGAATAATGGAAGATGGAAACACCTGCCGAATTCCGCCAAGCGCGTCAAAAAAGTCATGTGACACGGCGCTATGGGGCGGCAAAACCTGACTAACCAGCGGACCGATCTCATTCCACAGCATTTGAAATGTTGTCATGGTCATTCTGAAATGCCCGAGCAAAGTCTGTCGTCAAAGTATTTCTGTATAATTGCCTCCCAGAACCGTCTTACATGACTGCGTTCCCAAACATCCACCTCCGAGAGCAAGATCGCATTTACCGTTACATCTGCTCGTTCTGAGGCACAAGGTGCAATTTATTATAAATGAAAATTATTATATTCAGTGGCTTCTCCTACTTTTCTTAGCGATATTTAAGTGTTTAAGTGCCAGTTTATCAGGAAGTGATGATTTTGTTCTCTTTGACTCATTGGATGGAAACAGTGCTTATTCGCATATGTTTTATGCGATACTCCAATTTTGCACAAAAGTTACATTTGCAGTTTTGGATGGAAACTTGGCTACTGACAAAGTTTATATAGTAGCGGAGATTTGATTTATAGTATATAGCTTTTGATGTGATGTACGTAAAGGTTGGATTTACTTGCATAACTCATTGTTAATTGTTATTTGTTCATTTAAGTTAACAATTCATTATCTGGTGATATTGAAAATTATGAAAGCTGTGAGGTTTTGTTCTAATTATGACAATCTGACAAGCCTAATTGCTCTCCAGTCATGTGCATCACTGACACGGTGAATGATGTAAATGACAGGAAATTCAAGTGTAAAATTCCAATCATACGGATGTCATGCTTCCTTTTTGAGCCTAAACAGCCACAGTTACAGAAAAGAGCTGCATGATCAACATTTTTAGTTTTCCACTGAAAAAGTAAACGACACTAGGGTGGGTAAATAGTGATTTTTTTTGGTGAACCAGGCTTTGTTTTCCATTCGAGCACTCACCCTGGTGTCTTCATGAGTCTTCTGCTGGTGGGGACTTCCCAGCATTCAAGCCTCATTACAGAAAACATCTGACTCACAGAGAAGTGTGGGAGTTTCCTCAGTCAGTGTGTGAATATGAGCAGTGATGACTGAAACTTTGACATGCATCCAGTTAAAACAGCAGGATTCAATGAAGAACCGCAGAAGTCTCTCAGCAGCAAAACAAATATAGAAGTGTGCTGAGCTGAGGCTGTAACTTCACCGCCTCCAGTCACATCTGCCAGTGCATTCTCTGCAGTATTACTGAATGTGACGGGACTCCACTGCATGCTCATGTGAACACAGGGAAGTATCAGGGTTCACAGATTTACTCGTCCTCATTGCTGCTGTCGGTTTAAACGGTGATGTGCACCAGACAGCGTTTGGCTATGAAGACTATTTGAAGTCTAACTGATATTTAGCTTTCATATGCAAATTTGTTTGTGTTGCCAGAGACTGTATGTAGCTGTATAGAGGCCACAGTCAGAAATTAATAGGGACCTGGGGCAAAAATGGCAACAAAATATATGTGTTGAGCGCATTAATGCAATGGCCAATCAGAGGCGTTCAGACTAGTCAGCAGTGAAGAAATCTGCTGCGCTGCACTCTTGCAAGTCCTCGCATCATATCTGCACTTTGTTGTTTATAATCAGAGTAGGAGATTCGTTTGGCAGTGTACAGATCGTCAGTGATTTTGATTTTCTAATGCATAAAAAAGCACTAAACTAATTCAGATTGTTTTGCCTGAGTAGCCTAAGAATATGACGTCATTTCCCCAAACACAAAAATGGTTTGTATGCTCTTATTTAACAATAATCATTACAATAGCAAAAGCAATAATCAACAGTAATGATTTATCATAATATTCCAGCCCTAACTTGTAACGAGTTCCTGTTAGTTGTTTTAAAATGTATATACTGTATATAGGATTTTTAAAATAACATTAATCTCATACATTTATGCCACCTCCTGCCTTTCAAATGAAAGAGCCAATCACCAGTCTGTAGGGATGTAAAGATATTATCAACATCGTGGTATCGCGATAGCAAAACGGTCTCGATATTATCGTGGTCACACGACGATATGAAACAATAGGTCTTCCGGGCAAAAATTGTAGTTTTTTAAAAATATATTTAAACTTCTTATTCTAACATAAAAGGGCTTTAAAGTTGTGTTTTGGGCCATTATGCTTTGGCACAGTACAGTATCTGTCAAACAAACTCACACCGAAAGCACAATATGCTTAATCCCTTCATCAAGTCTGTTTTTGCTGCGTGTTTCAAAGTGAAGCACACACTTGGTTCAGACGATCAGCTCGTGATTCGGTGCTTTCTGCGTCTCAGAACAGCTCTGTTCACAATGAATGAATGCAGTCAACTCATTTACTGCATGTGCTGTGAGTTTAGCGTGCGTTTGGGAACGCAACAGCCACCAGTAAGGCTTTATTTTCACAGCAGATTACAGCGTTTCACTAGATTTGTAGCGAGACGTGTTTTTGTAAGTCTGTTTTCACTGAAGCTGGAGTTTCCTTCAAAATAAAAGCGTTAAAGTGCAGTATGAATTACTGACAGCTAGTGGTTTAAATGCAGTCCAAATTCAAAATATCTCTTTCAAGTGTAGAAATTAGGAAAGAAGTATTGTCATTTCCCTACTGTAGTGTAAAGCAAAAATAATATACCTATGAAATAGACCTATTTATTTTAATTTATTTTACAGTGCAACTGTTTTACAATATATGGCTATTACTGTCATTGTTGTTATTATTATTCTATTCTAATTTGTTTGGCTTCCTAAAACCCCAGTGTGAATGTAATTTAGACTGAGACAGTAGATCACAAATAAAAAGAGGGTTGAGTCGCTTTTAAAGTTCAGCTACAAGTCAGTTCACTGACTTCTTTCTGATTTTAGTTTTCTTAGTTAAGAATAAGGGTCGGAGCTCTTAATTTTGAACTCTCAAAGTGCATTAGATAGAATAATTTAACTTTAAAATGTACAAAATTTTTTTTTTCTTTTTTTTCCCTTTTTTTTTTTTAAATATCGCAATAAATACCGTATTGTGGAATAAGGGTCGGAGCTCTTAATTTTGAACTCTCAAAGTGCATTAGGTAGTATAATTTAACTTTAAAATGAACAAAATTTTCATTTTATTCCAATTCTTCATTTGTCTTTTTTTTTTAAATATCGCAATAAATACCGTATTGTGGACTTCATATCGTGATATTATTGTATTTTGAGATTTCGATATCATTACATCCCTACCAGTCTGTAATGTCACCTGGTCTTTACATGAAACTTGCTCTCACAAAGTCATATTCATCAAATATCCAGAAGTACTTTTTAAAAATACTCACATCTAATTAAACGTGGTTATCCATTATTTAGTAATGGTTAGCTGTGCAGCATGCCATGAATGTGTGGTTTATTAGGCTGCATGTCAGTCATGATGCTGCCTTAGAAGGGTGCTTCTGTGAGTGTGTGGATTGGAACAGACGTACCCAGGATGAGGTGATCGTGCTCGCTGTCGGTCTCGAAGCTGGAGCTGGACTGGGGACTGTGGGCTCTCTTGCGGGACGAGGCGAGCTGCGGAGGGCCTATTGGACTGGACCCCAGCAGCCCTGGCCCATGCAGCGCCTCTCGGTTCTTAGGGGGTCGACCCAGGCGCTTGGGAGGCCCAGCCGCTTTAGGGTTCTTCTTGGAGAAGAGGACAGAGGTACGCCGGCCGACCTCATGGGCCAGAGCTGAAGATGATGTGCTCAGATCTACAGAGAGGAAGAAAAGCCTAAATATGTGTCCATTTAAAAAGAATCAGTTTTTGAGGATGACTGAATTCAAATGTAAAATACTGAGACGTGTGGTCTGTGTGTGGTAGCTATTAAAGTGGCAAAGACCTGACGAAGACCTTGTTTGGGTCAAATGGTGTAATACATTAAAGTTTCATGAGAGCAGATAAAACAGTACGCCGTCTTTTCTTTTAGTTACTGACGTGGACCAACAGAAACTGGTGTATCCCCCTGCATGGTTAAATCCAACACAAATCAGCTACTTGTGGCCAATTATATTATTTAACTAATTTCTATGGTCATTTTAAGTCCAATGGGAGGTTCCTTAATTTACAAAGAAATAACACTATACGTTTTAATTGAGATGTACCATCTATGAACAGAAGCATACTGTCTAGTGCTCAACCATTCCCACCAACATTATGTTCATATGTTAAAACATTAGCCCTACATATTTAATAATAATAATAATAATAATACTAATACGAGTAACCTGGTTTGTGTGGTCATGAAACTCTTCATATTTTACTTTATATCCAAAGTTTATTGGATTCTGTAATGTACTATTCTAGATGAACAAAATGATACTGCATATTCAAATACAACATAAAAAGAATGAAAAAGCATCTAGATTTTCTGATGAAAATATGAACGGTGTTTGCCCATGTAGAGTACAACTGTGATATTCTGTTCTCTATGGCTCGGCTCCCTCCTTTAATGCAATTTATTTAACCTGTTTTATTCTCCACCAGGGGGAAAATCTCAAGTCTGATTGTTTTGTAAACTAACAGCATACCTCTCCTCAACAAGCTGCATGATTTGAGGCATCACAGAAAAACTGGATGAGCTGCATGACACAGTGTTATCTGGGGTTGGTTCAAAGCTGTTTGTGGTATTTTCAGACCTTTCCCACCGATCTCGTGGCTGCTGCTCTCTCCTTCATCGTGACGGTTTCCCCCCGAGGCGTGATGCGCGAGGACCGAGCCGCGCTCCAGAGACAGGCCCGACTCGAGGCTGCCCATGCCACAGATGCCCTCGCGCTGGTGCGCCAGCTTGCGCTTCAGTACAGTCATCTCTTTCTTCAGGACTTTAGCTCGCCGCGACTGGCCGATGCTGTGCTTCCCCGACATGACCACATCGTAGCGCGTCTCCAGGATCTGCAGCTGCTCCTCTACAGGCAGAGAAGATGACAACAGAACATTCACTTTCCATGTAAAAAGGTGCAAAACTCGATCCAACTCATTTATTTGTCTTTTCAGAAAATGGTCAGTGAAGCGAGCTGCTTAACCTTTGGCAAACCACTAGACTGATCATTTATTCATTCATTCATTTTCTGAGGTCTACAATATCTGCAATCCTATTGCCAAAATTTGAAACACGTCTGAAAATAGTGAACAACCTCGATTTTTTGTGTTTTACTACAAAAAGTTTGACTAAGTCATGTTTAATTGTAATTTCTCCAGATAGGCTACTTGTTTCATATCGGCCTCTGCACTTTGACCGGACTGCGGGACACGAGCATGACATAGGCCTATATATAATTAATTCCTACAACTTGTTAATTTGTTCCTACGACTTCTAAATCTGTGGCCATGGTCCATGTTTTATTTATTTGGGAATGAATGATCAAGTCATAGAAACAAATTCTTAATTCACGGCCACAAATTCTTTTATTTCCCACCCGCATGTTTATCACAGTAAGAGATGCGAAAACAGGGATTAAAAGTGAATGACAATAAAATAAACCTGCGAAATTAGAGGGTGAGACAATAAATATGATTAAATTTGTGGAAATTCGTGACCAAACATCAAAACAGAACACAAAGCTGTGTATGGCTTTCAATGTATCGAATGGCATGAATCCGAAAGCATGGTCGCAATATAATATTTGCCTGCTATTATTTCTCTTGTAAACAAAGCTTTGTACTTCACTTGTGTCATAATACTCACATAAAAATGTTTCATGTGAGCAACAATGTGTTTTAATTAGAGCCCTGCACGGGCCTCGAATATAGGCCCTAGCCGGCGCTTGTCCAACAGCCCGAGTCTGACTGGAGCCCATGTCTTTTTCTCTTTCTCTCTTCCCCAGTACACATTGCAGCCACTAAAATATAGTAGTCAACATTTGAAGTGGATCAAAACCTTTCACCAAAGTTTTCCTAAAACCAAAATGCATTCTTCTCTTAGGACAACTTTGATTAACTTTTTTCATCCACTTCAAATGTTGACTACTATAGATCATTTTTGATTTTTAATGGCAAAATTGTTATATTTATTTTAGTTTCTTTATTAAGTTAATTTAGAAATATGTTTGGAACATTTATGGTTTGTTAAATTCAAGTTTTTGCTCAGCGGCAGACTGAGTTGAAATGTTTGATCAATTTAGCCTTCTCAAATCATCATGGCTTGCCTAAAATAAAATCTATAGATATAAAATAGTTCAAGCATATAACAATATTAGTTTAAAGAGGTCATATGATGTTGCTAAAAAGAACATTATTTTGTGTATTTGGTGTAATGAAATGTGTTTATGCGGTTTAAGGTTAAAAAAACATTATTTTCCACATACTGTACATTATTGTTTCTCCTCTATGCCCCGCCTTTCTGAAACGCGTCGATTTTTACAAAGCTCATCGGTCTGAAAAGCGAGGTGTGCTGTGATTGGCCAGCTATCCAGTGCGTTGTGATTGGCCGAATACCTCAAGCGTGTGACGGAAATGTTACGCCCCTTACCTTACTGTGATGCTGTGTCCCGGAGCGACGGGACAAAACCAATAAAACCCATTATAAACGAGGTGTTTGTAGCATCCAGTGGGGACATAATTACAGATTATAATGACTTATACGGTATTTTTTTCGCGTTGTGTTGCATTGTGCCGCGTAAACATAAAACCATGTCTGCATTTGTGATCGGAGAAATGACAAACAACAAGCGCTACTCTACACTGCCCAAAACTCGCGTTTGAATCATCAGTGGCAAATCCGTAAAATTAATGAGTCAGAACAGCCGGCATTGTAGTCTACTCTACCAGGATCAGGAAACAGTCCTCCATAAAATGCGCTGCACACATCTG